AGCGCACGCGTGCGGGCCGTTCCCGAGGGCCGCGCTGCGGGAGAGGCTGCCCGGGGCCTCGGGGGTCGCGCGCGGATCCCGGAAAGTGCTGGTAGGTGCCGGCTCTATGTGATGACTGCGTAGAACTGGCGTGACGGTGGGGGAAGCAGGTTATAACCGGCCCAGTGTTTCATAGAATGTTTTTCTTGCCATGGGCCTGAGTGTTTCCGCCAATAGCACATTCATTTCGTCAGCAGCAAGTAAGTGTTGAGCACGTGTAAAGTGCATGAGTACAAGATGCTGAGGTTTACCACATTTCACCCCCTAAAAGCGACTGCCCATTTTCCTCTTCCTCTGATGGCTGCTGTGTTGTTTTTTTCTAGGAAGTATGCAACAAATTAAGAGAGGAATCACAGAGTTAGGCTCTGACTTCTCATAGGAGGTGTTGAGAGGAAAAGGGAAAACTCTAATACACTCTAATGAAGTCATAAAACTTAAGTAGAAACAGTTATCTTCTGCATTGTTAGTGTTGTTAGGTCACGAACGGATCCCTAGTGGGCTTGAAAGATACCAGCATGGCTGGTAACTTTATCTTAAAATTGTGGTTTACAGTGGCAATTTTTTTTTTTTGGCTCAAGCCCTCGGCTTTTGTTTTTACTTTAAAATGACTCTGGTGTGATTAAAGGGTGAATTTAGCCTTGTTTACAAGTATGTCTTTCAACTTTCACAAGAAAATGTTTTCCTTTAATACCATAGTTCCTGCTGTTGACAGTCTAATTTTTGCTAAGGTGGTCTCTTGCTGAAATAGCGAGATTAAATTAGCGACTTTAAAACGCATTGCCGAAATGATCTCTAACTTTTTAGCTTAACTTTACACAGAACCACTTGCCAGAGGACGTTCTATAACTGTTCTGCTTAGCATCCTGTATAGAAGTGGAGGAATGAGCAGGCTGCTTTCCAGGACTTAGGCAATTGGATAGGACCTGCTGGGGGAGACGCTGCATGATGGTTGCTCAACAGGCTTTGTTATTTTGTGCTTTTTATTGCCTGAAAGCCCTTCTCTACGTTTACTCTTTGGTTATGGTAATTAGTATAGTGACAAAATTTCTCTGTTTGTTAGACAGGTATTCACTTCTTATAAACCAAGGCTTAGGAAACGTGTTCTAATGATGGCAGCAACAGTTTATATAGGGTAGGCTGTGCAGGTCCTGTTAATTAGACTCCTCACCTTGCTCAGACTTGCTCAGGTTGCCTTAGATCTGAGACAGGGGATCCCAGTAAGGATGCAAGTAATGGAGGCAGGAAAGTTGCTTCATTGCTCTGCACAGCAATCGGAATGTCTGAAATTGGAAGGTTATTCAGGATGCCCTAGAGACTGGGTTATCTCATCCCGGCCTTCTCTTCCTTCCTTACCCTGTCATTATGGTGATGCTACCCCTTTGTTTTTCTCCCTGCCTCTTGGCTTCTGCTGCCTCTGGCTTTCACTTACTACTGTTCCCACCGTGTCTGGTTTCAGGATCTGTGAATGCTTGTGAAAAGACCTCCTTTATGTTTCTGCGGCAAGAGTTGCCTGTTAGATTGGCAAATATAATGAAAGAAATAAGTCTTCTTCCAGATAATCTTCTCAGGACGCCGTCAGTTCAATTGGTACAAAGCTGGTAAGATTCCTGTGTTTGTAATTTTGTTGGAGTTGTGGACTAAACTCAAGTTAAAGCAAATAAATCTTTTTTTACTTTTTAGTGGAATCTTAAGGTAGCAGCAGCATTCCAGTCCTTTTTTGGGGTGCATCTGGGCTTATCCCCTGAATCCTGGATTCTGTCACTCCTTGGTCTTGAGAAGAACAATCAGAACTACACAGAAATGCAGACACTAAACTTAAGATTTGTGTTATTAAATGTGCAGGGATGTTATGTTATAATAATTTCTACCATTTGTTGAAGTGAGGGATTTATATACAGTACCTTTAATTCTGCTCAGTAGGCATTATTATCTCCATTTTACAGATGTGGAAACAGGCTCCAACAGGCTTAGTCTTTTGCCTAGTACTGGAGCTGGGATTCAAACCCAGATTTTTTTGTTTCTACTATGTTATGATGCAGTCAGAAAGATGAAGTGTATTAAAGGGTGCATATTTTTATATAAAATGAATTTATTTTATTGAAGTATATATTTATAAGTCACATAAGTTAAAATTGTTACCATTTTAAAACAATTAGAAGTTATTGGAATCGTGTAGAAACTGTGATCTCTCTTCCAAAAAATCACAGTAGAGTTATGAAGGGTGTGCATCATATGTGGCCACCTGTATACATCCTTTCTTATTAATGTTGTTAATAGTGTTATTCTCTTAATCACTAAACATTTCAAACAAAAGAGTCTTTAAGAGTTTAGTCGTAAATGAAAAAAAATTAGCTGCAAGACATTGCTCAGTAATGATTCATTGAGACCCTCACTTTCCTTTTGTAGGCATTATAGTTTGTGCAAGAAGCTGATCTAACATCAATTTTAAATAATAAGCGAAAGAACAGATAATTTTCTCTGGAAGCTTATTCCTGTTTCTTTTTAATTTTTCATTAAAAAATGGCATATGCTGCATTTTAAAATCCGATCTGTGGCTAACATGTTGTAGGTATTCAGCTCTCTCTTGAATAAAGAGCACAGTTTTTCTTGCCAATGAAGAGAAAGTTAATGGTTAAAGGGAAACTGTATATATCAGAATCACTTAACTTTGGAATGTAGAGAGGCAAATTGCTTGTCAGCAACAGCTTTCCAAACCAACATATGGATTTGCAGATTTTCTAAACACTTTTATTGCCCCCCAGACGTCTGCTGAGTTAGGGCAGTTAAGCAGACCTTACACTCTTGAAGGTCCTTGAATGATAGCAAGGTGTTTTTAGCTCTGGCCTTGCACTGCCACTGTGCTTGGTGGCATGACCTTGAGAAAGTAATTTGGCTTGCTTTATTTGGCTGCTTCCTTAACAGGTGATTTGCTATCTTGAATTGTTAGATAAATTAAAACCTACATTCTCATGACTTTTGTGTTTTTGTTCAGTTCTGTTTAAAAGAACTAGTTTGGTGTAGATCATAGGCTTTCAACAAATATTTGTTGGTTGGACATAAACATCTGAAATTAAAGCTTAAAGCATAGACCTTTAAGTTAGACTCTTGGGCCAAGGTAGGCTGGGCTCGCCATTTTCCTGAGACTAAGACAAGTTTGCCCATGGTCACATAGTTTTTGGTTATAGATCCAGTTCTCATGACAGTCATTATTTATACTGTAATTTACAGTGGTAAATTTAGGAAATTTAAAAGCTATTTTAGAGTATAAAAGTTTAAAAAAATTAAGGAGGTAGGAAATCTTGCAGTTCTTCAGTCAAGATTAACGTATGCTTTTAGGAGAAAATGTGCACTTTCTACTAGTTTGTGCCAGGAACTTTGCTCACATGTGATTGGGTATAAAAATCCTACTTCAACCAGAATTTTATAGCACTATTCTAAATTAAAAATTAAGAAATGTTAAAATACCTTTTGAGCATTTTCACAATATTGAACTCCCAGAATGTGAGAGAACAAATTTACCCTGTTGACTGTATTTTAGGTATATCCAGAGTCTTCAGGAGCTTCTTGATTTTAAGGACAAAAGTGCTGAAGATGCTAAAACTATTTATGAGTAAGTACACTATTTTGACCTTATTCTGAACATAATTTTTGTACCCTTTAAACATCATATAAACATATAAATGTATTGTGTTTAAATCTTCTGTTGGGTTACTACAGAAGGGAAATTGATGAACTTTTAGTTTCCCACTACTCTAGAACATGTGGCAGTGCATTTGTCTAAAGTAGCCCATACAGGCAAGGCAAGTAACATAAATTAGTAATTGTGCTGGGAACAAGAAATGCTTCATGTTCCTCTGAACTCCAGTATAAGAAAAGACACAGTTCAGATGTGATGAACAACAGATATCTAGATGTGGCCTCAGTGCCACTTGATGGAAAGTGAAGACTTTTAACCTGGAGAGTGCCTGCGTCTAAAGGACAGCCAGCCTCAGCTCCAGCCGATCATGGCCATACCGAAATGCTGCCCAGATTGTCTAAGTTTTTGGTGTGTTTAAAAAAAAGCCACAAGTCTAGATTTTTAATACAAGAATCTCCCAATTCTAAATGATAGGCAAGTAATTAAAAATTTAAAAAAATACTAAAGGTCTACAAAAACATGTCTATGAGTCTCTAGTGTATGACCTGTGGTCTGTAAGATAATGTAAGTAATATGACTACTTTAATAACTAACATGTCAGAAATGATAAACCCAAGTAGTCCCCTCAGGCAGTTACCTACTTATTCCAATGACTGTTGCTCAAAAGTTGGAGACCACCTCTTTTGTTGTCCTCAATCGTTTATACATTTTTTGACTGTAAAGATGATAGCAGCACTTCATTTTTTAAACACGATTTTGGTCTGAAAATAACATCAAGATTTATTCTATGCCTACTTATGGAGCACATTGTACATGAATGATGTCATTTAATCTTTAGAACAATTCAGTTGAGAGAATACATGTGCACAAAGGGGTTAAGTAATTTAAGGTAGCTTAAAGGTCATAGAGCTAGCAAATGGTAGGACCAGAATTTAGACACAAGTAATCTTAAAAGTAAACATTATGTTACTTTTATGTTACGTGGATTATGTTATCTGAACCTTCTGGAAACAATCATTCAGAGCAGTTAAGCAGAATAATACTGTTTAGTGTTTTAAAAGAAGAAAGGTGAAATAAACTAATAAAGGGGTGACTAGAAATCATGAGATGTTCGTTATTTTGAGGAGTTTTATTGTTTGTATTTTGGATTAATAGTTTGGTTTTGAAGCTAATTACAAACTAGACATTTCAGAAATGATTTGAGCTATGAGAGCATCATTGGAATAAGTTAATAGTACTCAAGATGATGACTTTGAATAGGAAAGCACTCTTTTGAAAGTGTAAATTCTGATGGGTATGTTACAAAATGGATTTTGTTACTCCATAATTAAGACCTCTTTTCTGTTTTATTTAGTTCTTTAAATTACCCATGCAAGAATGTCTTCTAAATGACAGAAATGGGAAGGCCAGATGATTTGAAAATTTTTCTTTTCACACAACAGTTGACGTTTCCTCTCCCATTTTTAAACTTATAGGATGAGTGAAATTAGAATTCTTTCCTACTTTTCTGTTCTAAGTGGTTTTCTTTCTTTGAACCGCAGGGAATAGTTTCAGAGCAGACAGGCTTTATTGGCTTATTCGTCTTCATTCCTTCCAGAGCATGTGTTCCCTAGAAGCAAGTGCTCTGTCTTACGCTGAATGTCCCTGGAAAACCGTCCTCATAGTGAGTGCTGAGATGATCGTAGTTGACAGTGGTTAAAGAAGACCACAGCATATTTAGGATCATGTTTTGTGGCAGCCTTACTTTTAAGACTTCCAAGAGAATAATTAAATTTCAGAAGTTTTATTTTGGAGGTTCTTACACCTTCAGACTCAGTATATTTTATGATCTGAAATATATTTACACAAGTGTAGGAAAACATGCACCAAGGCTCCTTTTGCTGAATTGGGGATCCCTTGCCTAGTGTAGTTGGTTAAACTTAGATTTTAGCATTAAATTCACTTGTCAAAATACTTGGCTGTTTTGAAAGACAGGTTTGTTTAGCTTTACAGATACCGTGATACGGATCAGGAACCGACACAATGATGTTATTCCTACCATGGCTCAGGGTGTGATTGAATACAAGGAGAGCTTTGGGGTGGACCCTGTCACCAGCCAGAATGTTCAGTACTTTTTGGATCGCTTCTTCATGAGTCGAATTTCAATTAGAATGTTACTCAATCAGCACTGTAAGTGTCTGGAAGTCAAGAAAAGAAGCTAAGTAAAGTGTGTTGGTATATTTTAAATTTATTTAGAAAACTTCCCTTTAAAGAGAATGTTTAATTTTACTTTTTTTTGTGTGTGTGTGTATTAAAAGTAAATAGACTGCTATACAAAGGAGGTGTTTTTATGAATGTAAAATACTGTGTTTATGTTTAAGAAAAATATTTGTTCTATTGTTTGGCACCATTTAGAGAAACAGTTTTCAAATCTGGAAAGGGCATTGGATATTTTAGCTTATTTTGTTTGTCTTTGATATTTTATTTCTTAATAGCTTTATTGTTTGGTGGGAAAGACAAAGGAAGCCCATCTCATCGGAAACACATTGGAAGCATAAACCCAAACTGCAATGTAGTTGACGTTATTCAAGGTAAATACTAATAATTTCTCACTTCAGAAAGGATGCAGAAGTCAACATTGTTGAGTGTTAGTTCTTGCTATTAAAACAACTATTTATATCATGAGATTAAAATGTTAGGAATGAATATATGGGTTTGCAAATAACTTTATAATGTTAATTGTGCCTCATGTAACAGATGAATATTTGCTGATACATTGCTTTGTTAGGCAAAGTATGGTGATACTATGAGGGCATCAGTTTCACTTCAGAAAATTTAAGCCCCTTTCCCCCCTTTCTAACTCCCTGTACTAGGAGCCATAATTTATAATAGTTTGGTTTGCATCTTCCCATACTTTTTTCTGTTTATACCGCATATGCTCATACACATACATGATTGCTAGTCTTACGTTGTTTTTAGAAAATGGGGTAGTCTATGTATATTTTTCTACAAGTTTACAGACATTGTACCATGTTCAGTACATATGATACACCCCAGGTTTTTGAATGACTGTATGGATGTAGCAGAATAGATTAGGACATCCTCCTTTTGATGCACAGTTTGTTCTCATTTTTTCTATTACCACAATACTGCAGTGAACATCTTTAGATATATGCTGAGTTTTGCTAGTATTTTAGAAAGGAAGATTCCTAGAATTAAAAACATTTAAAGTGCATTTAAAATTTTGATACCCCCCCCCCCCAAGGTAACAAACAATGAATGAGAGTGTCTTTCCTAAACCCTCACCAGCTCTAAATGTTTGTTATATGTATTGTAAATAATTTCCTCAGCCTGCTGTTTTTCTTTACTTTGTTTATGGTGTCTTTTTCTATACAGATGTGTGTTTTGTTTTGTTTTGTTTTGGCATTGTATCTGTCATTTTTCCTTTATGGCTATTAGGCTTTGTCATGTCATATTTAAAAAGACCTTCCCCAAAGTAAGATTATTAATGTATGTTTTCTTCTATAAAAATTTTTAAAATTTCATTTGTCAGTACTGTTGCCTCCTTAATGCATGAAACAGATGTAAATTTATTTAATGCTTTCTTTGTTTGTTTTGATTCACACTAGATGGCTATGAAAATGCTAGGCGTCTATGTGATTTGTATTATATTAACTCACCTGAACTACAGCTTGAAGAACTAAATGGTAAGCCTGACGTTGTCTTTTCCTCAGTGATCAGTGTTACGATTACCTGAAAATGAATGATAAGAATAATTTAGATTTGTTTTAATATAAAAGGACTTTTCATCAACTTATTCATTGGCTGTGAAAGCTGAGAGAGAGCAATCATGTTAAGAAAAAATGTGTGTGTGTATAGTTAATGTAGTTGGATTCTTTCTGAAAGACATTTTGGTCTTTTTCCCATTTAAAAAATTTTTTTAAATTGATAATGTTGATTCTTTGCTTATCTTTGGTCTTCTGGTTAGAAAAAAAATGAAACCAAGAAAATTCTGTTTGACTTTTATATGCACTTCAATAATGTAAGGTTTACCCTTGAAGATTTTTACTTCCTGAGTTGTAAATCATTTTTACTGTTGAGGAAGTAAAAACACTGGAGGTGTAAAAGGAAAGAAAGATGCTCATTTGTTTGAGAATCTTTTAACTCTGATGGTCTGTTTTTCACCTTGACTTAGTGCCTTTGGGACAAAAAAAGGTTTAGGTGCCTTGGAAGGGGATTTGTGAGTCTTGCTGTTTTTTCTAGAGGGAGAGTAGTTAGAAAGGGGAAAAACATTTCCTAAGTTAACATGTTCCTTTAACGAGAATAAAATTAAACAGGCTTTTACTAGGTTGTATTCTGGACAGCAGTAGAAGAAGTTATCCAATTGAAAATAGAATTGCTTGGTGTTTTTCTAAAGCCATATTAATGCTTTTGGTCCATAACGGTACATTCAGTAAATAAGAATCACAATACACAAGCGATAGCCTGGGAACCTGAACTACTGTGGGCAGTTTCCAGATGTCCCACCCGTGTTTCCCAGGGGTATTTTATTCAGAGGGGAATCTAATTTGTTGTCTGTATTAGAATCCTAGGATATGTTTTGTTCCAAGGTTCTGTTTTACACACTTTCTGCCCACCAGGCCCACCTGGGTGCCTATTAAATGGTTGACTTTAAGGTTGAGAGTCCTTTACAAAGACTCATCATCATAGAGAAGAGTAGGAAGGTGGGTTGGTTAAATTATGCAGGACTCGTTGTCACTGACAGGTAAATCTAGGTGAGCGTGGGGTTCAAACACTGATATGGTGAAGAACTGGTGTGGCACTCCTCCCCTAGATGATACTGTCCTCCGCAGTAAATGTTTCCTTTTCATCACTACACAATATATTCTTTAAACTGCTTTCAGCACATCTCCCTGTACTTGATATCTCTCTCTTCTGCTCTGTAGCAAAGTCGTCAGGACAGCCAATACAAGTGGTGTATGTGCCGTCCCACCTCTATCACATGGTGTTTGAGCTTTTCAAGGTTTGTAAACTAGTTTACATACCTCTCCCAGCCGTTCCCTGGGGCGAGGCGTCTGCGCGGAAAGTTAAATGCCCGGTTTTCCCCAGTTTCATTAAAAGGTGTCATTTCACGTTCAGCGTTGTGTCACATTCCTGGAGATCAGCCTTTTGTCAGCACTGACGGGCCTCTCAGTGTGGTGGTAAGCTCCGACTGGGGAGTCAGAAAGACCTGGGCTTGAGTTCCAGTTCTGCCACTTAATTATGTGTGTGATGTCAGCCACGTTGCTCAAGCTTCCTGAGACTCAGTTTCCCGTTCTGGAAAACAAGGGTAATACTATCCATATTATGATGAAGACTGGAGAGAGCGTATCAAATATGCAATACAATGTCAGCACATTATATGTGCTCAATAAAGTTATATTTTACAAAACAAAATATTTAGAAGAATGATTCTTAACTGTTACCCTGAAATGACCAGAGTCCTGATGTGTGGTTTTTGTGTTTTTTTGTGTGAAAGTCATTTATATTGACTAATAGGGTTTCTGCTGTTATATTTGCTTTTTACAACAAATTTTGAAAACTAAATAAAATTATGCTAGTAGTGTTGAGAATACATTTTTGCCCACAATAACATTTGCTGGTAAACAGGAAAGTGGGTGATAAGTAGTGCAGGTCCCTGTGGCTGAAAATGACACTAAGCCAAGCCTGTAGTCTCTCTTAGTTTAGTTACCTTGTCTTCAGCCAGCAGCAAACTAGAAGAGAGAAGTGGCTTTCAGCCTGATAATGCAAAAGAAAAATATACTAAACAGAGAAAAACTGACGATAATGTCTTAGAACAGCAAGGGTTCAAGAATGCTCTTTTGTTCTAAGACAGCAAGAAAATACCTAATCCTTCCCCAGATCATTCAATCAGAGTGATTAAATAACTGATTGGCACTTAAAGGATTAAACCTAATTTTTTCCTTGAAATTTCAGTCACATAAAGATCTTGTTCCCCATGATGCTTAATAAAAGAAATACTATCATGTAAGGGATTTTATGTAATGTCAGTAATAATGGCTTCCATCTGGAACCTAATCTCAAGTGGCCTTTGGTAGAGATGATAGACTCAGTCCTGATTGGAGTGCCAGGGTCACACTTTTTTCCAAATTCAGTCCATCTTTTGCCCTTTTTACTTTATCTGGTCTTACCAATTTCTATTCCAATGTGACATGCCATGTTATCATTTAGTGCTTATGACATGTTGGCCATGTGTACCCTGTATCCTTTAGAAATGAATCAAAACAGTTTTACAATGTAGATATCCTTAGTTTCCAACAAGTGGTAAATTGGATTAATTTCTACATCATAATAAGACCATTGCTGTTAATAGTATATGAAAAAAAAATTTTTTTTAAAGCAATGTATGACAAAATGGTTCTTAAAAAAAGAAATGAAACTGTTTTCAAAAATAAGATTTGTTTCTTATCTATTAAATTATAAAAGCATTTGGATAGAATTGTCTGCTTTAATGTAAACTAATTAAAAGTGTTGAGACAGCTGGTTTTGCAAAATATGCAGAATTTGGTTGAAATTTTTAAATCAAAGTATCTCACAAGTCCTCCAAAACTGACTTAGTAATATTTTTAAGAAAGTAATTCTTTAAATATGATTATAAGAATTATGATTCTTTGGCATATTTAATTCTATCGAATTAAAACTTAAAATTTAAAGTGATGCCTATGTAGTTGAAAATTATAATTAGTTTCTTTTTTTAAAGTTGTATTTTTAATGTAAACCTAATGTGTTTCAGAATGCAATGAGAGCAACCATGGAGCACCATGCTGTCAAAGGTGTTTATCCACCTATTCAAGTCCACGTCACACTGGGTAATGAGGATTTGACTGTGAGGGTAAATGCTTTTTGTTGTTTTTTTTTAAAAAAAATTGATGTACAGGCATGCACATAATTTCTAGAAGGCATAATTTTTCTTAGGAGAAAGAAATCCTGTCCCTAATAGCTAATAAGCTCATTGCTTCATTTATCTGGCAGATTATGGAATTATCCCTTGAGTCTATTTCTATTCTGATCCCTAAATCAGGTTATTCAAGTTAAAGTAAATCCTGAGACAGAGAGTTTAGCAGTGATCATGAATATATACTTTGATACCCACTTTGATAAATAAAATATAAAATATTTGGGTATTTGCAGTGTTATGTAGATAGTACATAATTTTTCATTTTTAAACAATGCTTTTCATTCTACTTTCATTTTAATTATTCCATTTGAATCTCATAGTGACTCTTAAGTTAGGAGCACAGGCAATTTTATTCTTAGTTTTACAGATAACAGACTATGACAGTGATTAGGTTGTGCCTACACAGTGAAAAAATGACACAGTGCCAGGCTTTTTCCACTACATTGTTGAGATAGCCCAGTTTCTTAGAGTATGGTGATGTTTCTCTTTTTTTAAATAAACATTTAAAAATATCTCTTAAAGTAATAAATACAGAGAGTATAAAACTCAAATATGTCAGTTCCTGGTCATTTGTGAGTTACTACTCAGAGACAGTCTTTCAGTTATTTCTTCTGGGAATTATTGCTACGTTTTTAAGTAGTATTTCAATTTTGCTGTTTCTGAAATTAAAAAATTTTAAATGGCAAATACTAGCTTTCTGTTATGGTAGCTGAGGAATTAGTACCTCCTCTCCCTTACCCAGCTTCAGTTGCAATTTTCTCAGTATTTAAGGTCATACGTGGAATTATGGATTGAAAATAATAATCTTGAAGACTTTTGAAGGCATCTAGTTTCTCTTTTTTTTTAAGTATATAATTCAGTGGTTTTTAGTATATTCACAAGGTTGTGCAACCATATACTGTCTAATTTCAGAACTTTTTTTCATCACTTCCAAGAAAAACCCAATGCAGTCACTCCCTGTTTTCCCCTCTTCTCAGTCCTTGAAAATCACTAATTGACTTTCATGTATGGATTTCCCTATTCAGGACATTTAATAAAAATGCAGTCATACAGTATGTGGTCGTTTGTGACTGACTTCTTCCGCTTAGGATAATGTTACAGCATGTATTGTACTTTATTTCTTTTTATGGATGAATAATACTCTGCTGTGTGGGTATAACACATTTTATTTGTCTAATCATCAAGTTGATTGATATCTGGGTTGTTTTCATTTTTTGGTTATTATGAATAATGCTGCCATTCATATAGAAATTTTGATGTGAACATGGGTTTTCAATTCTCTTTTTTTAAACCTAGGAATTGAATTGCTTTTAGGTAACTCTGTGTTTAACTTTTGAGGAACTGGCAAACTGTTTTCCAAAGTAACTCATTTTACATTCCCACCAACAATGTATGAAGGTTCCGATTTTCCACATCCTTGATGACACTCGCTATTGTCATTCTTTTTGATGATAGCCATTCTAATGGGTGTGAGTGGTATCTCATTGTGGTTTTCATTTGCATTTCCCTAACGATTGATGATGCATCTTTTCATGGCCATTTGTATATCTTCTATAAAGAAATATCAATTAAGATCCTTTGCTCAGTTTTTAAGCGGTTTGTCTTTTTATTGTTGAGTTATAAGAGTTCTTTTCTATTGTCATAGAAAATAGTGGAGCTCCTTTCTCCACTATTTTTGCTGACATCATCCTTGCTGTTCCTTTTGAGAAGACTTATGCTTATTCCAATTCCCATTCCTTTGTACGTGACCAGTTTTAGTTTGAGGTTTTGTTTCACTGAGCTTTTAAGATTATTTGTTTAACTGAAGCTTTAAAAATTTTTCAGCTCTGTTCTAAAATTTCATAATGATGTGAGTTGGCGTGGCCCTTTCCCTTACTCATTGGGCTGGGCCCTTTAGAATTTAGAACTTCTCCTGATCCCTTGATACTTTCTTTCCTACTGTTGTGCTTTCTGATAGTCATATTTGGAGGATGTTGGGCTTCGAGAAATGATCCCCTTTTTTCGTATCTTTTTTCTCCTCTTTTTTAATCTGTTTAACTTTTTGTTCTACTCTGTGAGATTTCCTTGACTTTAAATTCCCAGCCCTTCTATTGATTTTTTAGTTTCACTGTATTATTATACACTTTTTAATTTTACCTTCTTTTATCACTCTGAGGATATTAATGATAGCTGTTTTTTCAAAAATTAATTTGTCTCTGCTGTCTGCACTGTTATCTCTGAATTTCTTTTTTCTGTTTATCTTTCTGGGCTATTCATTTAAGAGTGAGACACAAATAAATACATAGCTGTACCATCTGCTGAAAAAGTAATGTATCACGTTTTCTCCAGCCCAGATGCTAATGTGTATCTGTTTTTTGGTTAGTTATGTGTCAGCTACTTGCCCACTAAGGTTTACTTGATTCAAAATAAGTCCTATATGACTTCTGCTTTGGGGCTTCAGTTATGCTACAGCATGATTCTTGTAGCTTTCTCTGCTTCTGTTTTTGTGCTTTAGCCTATTGGTCTGCAGATGCTTTCCATTATTGTGGTTATCTATCACCACACGGATCAAGGTTCACTGAGCTCCTAGGCACTCAGCCAGAGACTGATTCTGTGTTGGTGGACAGACAGACCATGCTTAGGGAACCTGTCTGTTTGGTATAAAGAAAAGTTCACAGTGACCTAGCATTTCGACTTCTAAGTATGTCTATACTCTGAAGGTTTAAATACAGATGTTCAAGCAAAAACTTACACATGGATGTTTATAGCAGCATTATTCACAATAGCCGAAAAATAGAAGCAGCCCAAATGTCCATCAGCTGGTAAATGGATCAACAAAATGTAATATATATCCATCTAATGGAATATTATTTGGCCATAAAAAGAATGAAGCATTGATACATGCTGCAACATGGCTCCTGGAACATTGAAAACATGCTAAGTGAAAGAAACCAATCACAGAAGGTCACGTATCATATGATTCTATTCATATGAAATATTCAGAATAGACAAATATAAAAGGGCAAGAAGTGGACTAGTGGTCGTTTAGGAATGTAATCAGTAAAGTGTCCAGGGTTTCTTTTTGAGGTAATGAAAATATTTTAAAATTGACTGTTGATGGTTGCACAGTTCTGTGACTATATTTAAAATCATGGAGTTGTGTACTTTAAATGGTTGAATTATATAGTCTGTGAATTATATTTCAATAAAGCTGTTAAAAAATGTTCGTAAGGGTCTTGAACAGACTGTTCTAGAAGCCCCTTATAAAAGCCCTACCTGTATATTGGGCTCTGCCTCCTCACATCCAGGGTCACATGACTGCATCTACTCTTGGTATATCTTTTTGTTAAATGCGTATTTTAATTTGCTTCAGTAGTGATTCATCCCCATCACTTACCCTAGGCTTTTAGGATCAAGGTCTGGGCTTCCCCCCATTCTTTTAGTTTGTTCAAATTCTTGACATTCTTCACCTCTGCTGAAAATCCTGTGAGTTGTTTTTCTCTTTTAGATCACTTGCTGCTCCTTCAGATTTTGTGTTTGATCTCTATTCATTAAGTAATGCAAGTGTTGCAGCCACATATCTTTTCAATTAAAATGTAAATGTCTGAAGAAAAAAAAGAAAAAAAAAGTAAATGTCTGGGTTCATTCACTGTTGGTGACTTTATAAACTTGACATTGAAAAAGATGTTGAGTAAGAGACTTCAGGAGCTCTGGGTGAGAGTTCAGGGTTAGTAAATTTCCTGCCTTCAAAGCTGTCATCAAGTTAGCTGTGGTTCATTTCCCTAGGACCAGAAATTCACATGAACTAGCCCAGAGAGCCAAGTGTTATGGGCAACAGGAAGTTAGGGATGACACCTCTTTGGTTGGAGAACATTGAAAAGTGATGATTTCATGCACTGAAGAGAAAGCTTGACAAATAATTGGCAAACTCCTCTTCCTCAGCTTCCTGTTGACATTACTCCCCACCACCTATTTCTTTCATAATCTCTTTTCTTTCCCTTAGCATAGGCTTATGTATCTGTGAGTGTAGATTTTTTTTCCAAATTATCTTAATCAGAGATTTTTTTTGGTTTAATTTTCACATCTCTTTCTCAGTATATTTGTTATCAGAGTGCCATTCTTCTTGTCTTAAATATATACAGACCAAACATCTGTCTCTCTCCCATTATTTCCTCCCTCCTTTTTCCCAAAGAACTCAGACCTTCTGGTATAATATCATCTCTTACAACTCTCTTGGAAACTCTTTTGACCACTTTAAAAATCTACTGGTTCCTGCCCGGCCGGGCGTGGCTCAGTGGTTGAGCATTGACCTAGGATCCAGGCAATTGGGGTTCGATTGCTGGTCAGAGCACGTGCCCAGGTTGCGGACTCGATCCCCAGTTGGGGGCATGCAGGAGGCAGCCGATCAGTGACTCTCTCATCATTGACGTTTCTATCTCTCTCTCCTCCTCTCCTTTCCTCTTTCTGAAATCAGTAAAGATACATTTAAATAAATAAATAAATGAAATAAAAAAATAAAGATCTATTGGTTCCAGTTTATTGTGTTTTTGGCTACAAAGCAAAGGAGGTTACTTTTAAGAGTCTCGTGCTCTACCGACCTAGATAGCCGGACACTTCCCAGGAGGTTACCTTTATTTACCTTTATCAGTTTTTAACTATATTCCTATGACTTAGCTTACCCCCTTCACCTCTAATAAGAAGATACTTCTCAGTCACTTCTGTCCTTTCTGCTCTGCTTTCTGCTTTTCTCATACTCGCCAGTGGCTAGAAGTCACTTCATGTTTTATGCTTGCTGGATGCCAGAAGGTTAAGGAAAACGAGAAAATATTTATGGAATTCTATCTTTTTATCTTAATATCTATTCTAATATGTTGTTCCCTTAAATTAATATTTATAGAACCCTCACACTTCTGTTACCAGCATATGTGCAGGAGAGCATTAAAGACTGAGTAATTAATGAATTGATGGATCTCAGAAAATACCCAGACATCTTTATTCATATTACTAAAATAAATCTTTTCACAGGGCTTTGAATTCATGGCCAAGAACAATTTCAAGCATAATGCCACAGACAAGTTCTTAATAAAGTCCTTGTATATTTTTATACTGCAATTATCTAATTGTAGATATATCAGAGGCAAGTCTTCAAATGGTATTTCAAAGTGAATTTTTATTTTAAAAATTAAAATAGCTATGTGATTTTCTTTGGGAAAGAAATATATAGCAGGTCCTCGAATAACATCATTTATTTAACATTGTTTAGTTATAACATCGATAAGATGTCATAGGAACGTATCTCTTGTTTATATCAATTAACCTGCAGTAAAATTGTTTTCCTTGTATATCATTCCACCAGAGTTTCGAGAACCTATTGATGATGTGAAGTGAGGACTTAATGTATAAACATACTGTAAAAATTTTAAAAGACTATAGAAAAACTTAACTAGAAGCCATCTGACCTTATTGACTTCATACATAGCATTCAGAACTATTTTTATATCTATGCATATATATATGCCTCTGTTAAAAGCAGATTTGTTTGTGACAGCTATGTTATACTATAGATAGTAGACTCAATTTAGATTTTGTAACAAAGGAAAATGGCTGTTCTAGTAGATTAGAATGGAAGGTGTACAACAACTAGAGAAGTAAGTCCATGTTAGCTGTGAAGGAAAAGAAACTGACAATTTGTAATAAATTATTAAACCCAGTCTACCATATTATTTGAGTTGGAAAATGACATAAGTACAATATAAAAACCTATGCACCTTATAAACTCACCAGAAAGTTGTCTGAGAGTGTATGCTGTGAAATGGCTGGTAGATGAGATTCTGCAGCACATTGAAGTGAATCTGCTTTTTCCTCCCTGAAAATGAAAATTATACTGTTGCTTTCCATAATAGAAATAATTGTGAAAAAAATTCAGAAACTAAAAACCCAAAAGGAGATCACTCATTATTCCATAGACAAAAGTATATCATTACAGACCTTTTTTATAATTTAATTTTTACAAAATTAGAATATTATAAATGCATCTTCATAACTTTTTGCTATTTAACAAGGTTTTGTGAATATCTCTTATGCCAATACATACCATTCTGTACATTTAAATATTCTGTTTTAGAATGTACATTAGTTTATTCAAATAGTCCCCTATTTAGGATGTAATCCAGTTCTAGCTTTTCTCCATAGTGCTGTGATGGATAGTCTTACACGTCCTTTGCATACTTTTCTGATTTTTTTTTTTAGGATAAGCCTTGTTGGGTCAGAGGGTTTATGCATTTTTCATCTGGTTGTCAGACTGCCCACCATAAAGGAATAATACATTTATGTTTACATCCGAGATAGGCCTAGTTTATGCAGCATTCTGTGCTATACTGAAGTGTTAGTGAGACTTTAGTAATACACAAAGCCGCCTCATTGAACTTGTATCATGATGGAGTTTATTATGTATTAGAATTTCTTGTGTTGGGTGAGTTGTGTTAAGTCCAGCAGTAAGGAAATTGTTTACATTTGCAGTTTGGATCGCATGATACTCATTTTGAAAAGCTGTACTGTGCAGCCAGCAGTTAAACTGTGACGCTGAGTATGTGTCTGTATTTTGCTGTGTATGGGACTTGGTCATAGTGCATGATCCTTTCTCATCTTAGATGAGTGACCGAGGAGGTGGTGTTCCTTTGAGGAAAATTGACAGACTCTTCAACTACATGTACTCAACTGCACCCCGGCCTCGTGTCGAGACGTCCCGAGCAGTGCCTCTGGTATGTGATCAAGAAATAATGAAGTGTGTTTCTGTGAATTGCCAAAAAGAAACCCAAACAAATTGGTTACCAAATAAATCAGCTGAGCCATTCTGTAGGGTACATCCCAAGGAAGAAGGGAAGCTATTAGGAAAAACCCCCACTTTTCTCTAAATTTAAACAGCGTTAAATTTGGGTTATTTTTTTCTTTTGATTGCCAGCACAAGACAGAGTATTGTTTTAGAGGTCTCATTGCCAAGCTTGATAGTGATATGTTAGTTGTTTTCATGTGGTAAACCGCATTTTGACATACTGTTTCTAATGGGAAGACTAAATTAGCAGTTTTACTGGTATTTGGTCAATACTGATTTGATCTTCAGTGTTGATTTTTTTTCCTCAAGTACTTACAGTAGAAAGATCTCATATTCTAGACTCAGAAATAAGACTAGAGATCTGATCAGTTTAATCACCAACCTGGAAATGGCTCAAATTATAATTGTTTTGCTGGTATTTTTTATTCATCTTAATAGTCATCTGTTTTCAGGTTTAATAAGATTAGCTTTTAAAAAAAATGTTTTTATTGATTTTAGAGGAAGAGGAAGGGAGAGGGATATAGAGATAGAAACATCAATGATGAGAGGGAGTCACTGATCAGCTGCCACTTGCACGCCCCATACTGGGGATCGAGCCTGCAATCCGGGCATGTGCCCTGACCGGGAATCAAACCAGGGACCTCTTGGTTCATAGGTCAACACTCAACCCTTAGCCACACTGGTTGGGCAAGATTAGCTTTTGAATTGACTCCATCGTTGTTCTCCAACCCCCAGAAAAGCCCTTTGCCAGTTCTCTAACCTGTAATTCTGGAAGAACTGTTGTTCTAGGCTTGGAATCTTCTTTGGCATATACACTGGAGTTATGCTGTGACGTGATGAAACACAGTATAAGTGGATCTGGTAACACTAGGAAGTTACCAGAAGGACTTCATTATAATATTTTTACCTTTCACACAGCACAAATTCTGTAGCTACAACTGTGATATGGTTCATGTCTTACAAAATTTTACAATGATTAATACAGTAATGAGCTTCTCAAATGGAGATATATGGTGCCCGGGGTAGGCATTCATGTGCCAAGGGGCAGGTGAGGTCAAATAATAAACACAAGCATCTTTTTAAAGTCTGATTTTACTCTAGAAGTAAGAGGAGAGAAGGGATAGGCTGCTTTTGTAGTAAACAAATATTGTAGAATTTTTTGTGGAGAGCAGCATAGCATACTGGTCCAGACTTTGGATCAGAACTGTCTGATATTCTGCTCCTGACATCACTACATTTTAGCTGTGTAGCTTTGGGAAAACTGTGGACCCCTTAATATCCCAGTTTCTCCATCTTTAAAAATCAAGTTATTGTAAGGGCTGACATTTATATATGTAAAAATACCTTTTATAGTGCTTGGCACAAAGTCAGTGCCACATAAGTGTTTGTTGTTCAGGATACAGAATTTATGCAAATTTTTAAGAAAACAGGAGGTTTGACATGGCACAGGCTCCCCAATGTGTCTACGCAGCCTTACCAAGGGGAAGCCTGTTAAGCTATTTTTGGAGCCTCCCTCCTAATGTTATGACCACTTTGTAAGCGGACCCAGTAAGCAAGCACTGGGGCAGCTGGAGGAAGACTGCCTACCAGCCTCAGGAGTGGTCATCCTGTGTTCTTGACTACTGAGAGCTTCCTCCATGTGGGTGCCTTCTGGCGGACGTCTACATGGGCAGAATATCCTCACACTGGAAGCCTGCTTAGACAGGACCATCTGCGTTTCCTCTTCCAGACCTCCTTCTCATCATCTATGCAGTTTCATTTTCCCCAAGCCCCTGACCAGCCAGTCAGCCAACCTGTTTGCCACCCGTGAGTCCATGTAGGTGCTGCACCTCAAGTTCTGCCCACGGGCAGGATTTGCCCCTGCCCGGAGAGGTTGTAGTGCAAGCGCAGTCCACTCCTGGCTGGTGCTGGCATCTGGTGGAGATCCATCAGTGGGCCAGGCCTATGCTGGTTTTCTTCTCTAGGGGAAGCCCCAGGAGTTCATGGGTGTGGTTGAGGGAGAGGCAGTGATGAAGCAGATCAGGTCATGGCATCCTGAGCCACCTGTGAAATTTCCTTGGGGCCATTTCTGGAACTAATTAATGTATCAGTCATGGTCCCAACAGAAAAGAGAGCTCATTCAAATGATAATTAAGGAAGGCTTATTTACAAAGAGACTAATTACAGAGCTATGAATAGGGATAGTGTAGACATCCAGGGCTGTCACCGCCCAGAATCGAAGAGGGCAGAGAAGTTAGCAGAACCTAGAAAAGGGGAAGGTTGCATAGTAGCTGCTTAGTAACAAAGGGCCCAATCTGCCCAAGGAAAGCAAGCTCAGGCAGAAGGAAGCAGGGAGTGAATACCCTGACTTGACTACCTCTGAACTCCTACTGGGTTCCTCATTGGCCGGACCCACTGGAGGCAGAGGGCATAGGAATCCACTGACATCATCCATTCAGGTCAGACTCCCGGGGTAAGGAGACATGAAGAATAGGTAGTTGACTTGGAGGGGTGAACACACTCTGCCTAGAAAAATCAAGTAATAAGTGGTGGAGATAGATAAACCTGGAGCCTGGATTTGTTAATAGCACTCTCATTCCTGAATCCACATAAGCTCTTAACTAAAGTGTTGTATGAAATGTCATTGAACGTCTCTTTTGGTGATAAAAACCGATTTTACATTTATCTAAATGTTTTGCTTTGTATTAAATAATTGGTAGATTTATTCAGGTAAAGAAGGTCATTCCAGATATTGGGAACAGGATGAACAAAGACACAGAAGAAAAAAATTGCATATGTTTGAAGAACTTGAGAGCAGAAGATTTCGTTCAGCTGGACTGGAAAGTGGGAGGCAGAGACTTGATCTTATGGGGTCTTGAAAGCTCTTTTAGAAGTTTGGATTTTTATTTCAAGCCAGTGGGTGAGGGGATGTGCTTTGAAGATTTTTAAGCAGGGAACTGACCTGTAAGTGAGAATTAAGAAAGCAGAGCTTTTATGGATCCCTCCAGGTTCAGAACACAGGCTAGAAGTTCATGGTATGAAGTCATGAGCTGTATCTGTTAGGTTGCAAAAAGGCTTTTTCTTTTCTTGCTCCTAAAAGAGAGAACATGTGTCCTAGCCGGTTTGGCTAACTGGTTAGAACTTTGGCACTAGGACTGAAGAGTCCCAGGTTCGATTTCGGCCAAGGGCAAGTACCTTGGTTGCAGGCCCGATCAGGGCTCATGTGGGAGGCAACCAGTGTATCTCTCTCACATCGATGTTTCTCTCTCTCCCCTCACCTCCATTCTCTCTGAAAAGCAATGGAAAAAATATCCTTGGGTGAAGATTATAAATAAATAAATGAATAAATAAATAAATAAATGAACATGTTTTGTATGATATTGCCCAAAGCAGTATTGGGATACTCTAGAGCAGGCCAATGAAGAAAAGCAACATGCTTTTTCAGAACCCCCAAGTCGTTTTATAGTAGAAGGAATGAAGACTTCTAAATGACCAGAGGGGAGTCATCTAATATAGTACTCAGCTAGGCTACAGCTTGATCATTAGAAATTCTTAGGTATTAGTTGGTCTCTTAGATACAGGCTCTCATGGCCCTGGGGTACTCAGTAGTGTTTGTTTTTATTAGATAAGTATTTCAGTGTGTGGCTTTCTGAATAAAATTCCATTTTCCTCACACAACAGGCTGGTTTTGGCTATGGATTGCCCATCTCCCGTCTTTATGCACAGTACTTCCAAGGAGACCTGAAGCTGTATTCCCTCGAGGGCTATGGGACAGATGCAGTGATCTACATTAAGGTAGTAATTATAGTTTTCTTGAGTGAATGAGATGTCTCTTGATAAGAAGAAAAGATGCCAATATTTAACTGTAATGAAATTTTCCTCTGCCTCATGCTAGTAAAATAGAAGTATTATGGTTTTTCACATAGGACCTTGTCTTTTTTGACAACTGACCTTTTTGACTCTGGGAAAGAAGTACTCTTATCTGTAATGATCAGGACTGTGGTTGTTAATGGAAAAAAAGGGTTAAAGTAGGGAATCATAAAAAGTTTCATGTCTTACAAATTTGATTTTAACACAAAGCACATGAATGGACATTGATCCACCAATCTTTTGATGTTCTGCTCAGGCCTTTTCTTTGGTTCTACAGATTGAAGTTTCAGTTATCTTCTCTGCAGAAGCTGTACTTACATTTTTTGGGGGGAGAGGGGGAATTCTTTAAACAAAGAAACAACCAAATACACAATCCTTTTTTACTTGTATGCAGTCCTTTACAAATGTCTCTGACTCTGATTTGACAGCAATTTTTATGTGACTTTCCTTCATGAGTTTTCCCAAAGTATTCATCTTAGTTTTCAAAGAACCCTCCCATCTTTTTTCGCACTTTGTTTAAGTAACATTTGAGTAAATTATGTATTTACAGTGACAGATGTAATTGCATAAACAGATTTGGGAACAAATATAGGTGACTCCTTGGTAAGCCTATAGCTCACCTGGTGTGGGCAGAAGCACTGAGCCTCCTCGCATTGGATGTTCCATGTGTTTAGGCGGAGATCAGTATATTTTACAGGGGTGGAGAGCACTGAACCCCAGCAACCCACTGGATTGGTTAAGCTGTTGGTACCTAGTTATTTAGTGACGCTAGTTTCTTGTTCTGGCCACTAGATGGCACCTATTTTACAGGAAATGCTGAAAACTTTGTATTGGAAAAAATAAATTTATCTGGCTTATTTATTTTTACCCTCATCCAAGGATATTTTTCCCATTGCTTTTCAGAGAGAGTGGAAGAGAAAGAGAGAGAGAAACACTGATGTGAGAGAGACTCATTGGTCGGTTGCCTCCCATATGCCCCCTGACCCAACCCATGTATGTACTCTTGGCCGGAATCGAACCGGGGACCCTTCAGTTCATGGGCCAATGCTCTAACCACTGAGCTAAGCTGGCTAGGGCAGTTCTGGCATATTTAAAGAGAATATATAGGTAAAAGATTTTTAGTTCCATTTTGGAAAAAATAGATGACAGGAAGTCTTATAGAATCATTAAAATCATCAACGTCAAGTACCTTCCTTAGCATTATCAGAGTGAAATTTATAGTTCAATATTTTCTGCATCTTGGGAAATGCCTGTGGCTTAAGTTCTACTAAAATATCCCAACTTGAAGATGATGAGGAACATAGTTTATTTCAAGTTCAATAGAATAGTGAATTAACGGTAATGATACTGGAAACATGAAATTATGCATGATGCAGAAACACATGTGCTGTAACTGAAATTGGTGGCTCTAATGGCAGGAGGAAAAGACAGGATCAAACTGAGGGCCAAGAATGGTTCATGCAAAGGCCAGGATGCCTTAGACATAGTTTTATATTGACTGATAAGAATATTATGTTGAATTTTTAAAAGTACAGTGACTATACTGAAAAATATAGTATTCTAATAATTAAAATAGAGCTCATTAAATGATTATAACATTATATATATTAAGATACATATGTCAACTTTTGTGCTTTTATACTTACATGACTTTTTTCATTAAGGAACTTCTGTTCTTTAATGGGTCATGTTTTATAAGAGGCATCTATTACACTTGTGTCAAATTTCAATCCAGTGGCTTTCAGGCTGGTGGAGTTACTCTAAACAACAAATTCAGTCAACATGTACACCAGGCAGTGCCATAGACTTAGTCAGTAGAACGTTTCAATTACATATACTATGTAAAAATGTATGGGGACAGTGTTATGATTAATAGAATACAAAGCCAATAAAGTATTGTTTAATTTGTAGTAACCTTTTTGCCACTGTATGTTTTCTTAAATATGGATTCTAAAACATGCCCAACTTAGGTCCTGCTTTTCTTTCAGGCTCTGTCAACAGAATCAATAGAAAGACTCCCAGTGTATAACAAAGCTGCCTGGAAGCATTACAAAGGCAACCATGAGGCTGATGACTGGTGTGTCCCCAGCAGAGAACCAAAAGACATGACAACGTTCCGCAGTGCCTAGATACACTTGGGACCCCTAGAACATCCAAATGTGGCTTTTGTATTAAATTTGGAAGGGATGGTGTGCAGAACTACATTATACCAAATACTTCACGTCCTTTTCACAACTATTTGGGTAGAATAAATGGAAACCAAATTCCGTTTATGCCTGTTAAACCTGCTAAAAGGATGAAGTTGTACCTGTTTGACACTTATATTTTCACAGTTAATTGAACGTATTTTTAAACAATCATAGTTTTGATCAACTTTCCCCTTTATGGTAGACTTCAGAAGAGTATAAATCTTTGGGTTTCTACAGGAAGCTGAGTGGTTTTGTCAAATACTTTTCATTTTTCATTTGTGTCTGTGGGAAACATTTTCTTAATAATACTGATTAGCTAGTTAACCATTTTTCTGTTATTTGGAGGAGTTCTGCCATCCTTTACTTGGTGGAAACTGTAGTACGATGGTCTTCATGTTTACCAGTGATTAACTACAAGTAAAGCAGAAACAGTTGTCCTGTTAGTATAGAACCAGCTACCTTAAAGCTTCTACACGCATTGTCTTAGCTCTGAAGTTAACTTACCATTTAAAATTTTTATTACAAAGGATTATAATGATTAGTTCTGTGTGGGTGTAAGCCTAGATCATTGGTAGTCTACTTTGAATGTGCTTGTGATTATACCAGAAACAAACGAGCAGCTGCTAACGTTCTGGAGAATAAATTGTGGGCAAAGCAGTGAGTCCCAAAACCTGAACTATGGATTGTTGAGATGACATGGGGGAGCTTCTGAGAAAGAGCTCTGGGTCCTGCTCCAGACATGCTGGATCAGGCTCCCTTAAAATGCTAAGTGAGTGATGCTTCACCTGCTTAGGAAACCGAGCTTTTTTGTTGTTAATCCTCACCTGAGGATATTTTTTCCTTTTTTTTTTTTTTTTTTTTTAAGAGAGAGTGGAAGGGATGGGGTGAGTGGAGGGAGAGAGAGTGACATGGATGTGAGAGAGGTCGATTGGTATGCACCTGATGCAGTCAGGATTGAACCCGCAACCCTCTGGTGCGCCGGCCGAGGCTCTAACCACTGAGCCACTGGCCAGGGCGCAGCTGTTCTTTTAAAGTGAGTAATGAGGATACCACATGTACTGAAGTGACAGATCTTTAGGTTTTCGTTTTCCCCTACCCAAAGGTCAGACTTCTCATCTCTAGGCCAGACAAACTGAACCTCCCAATTAGAAGCATGATTTGAAGCAGGAGACAAAATGACTACTGCAGAATAGTAGGTAGCAGAAGGATCAGAACCATGAATGCACGTCTTGACAAAGAACATATATTTTATAAGAAATACCTAGACTTTGTTATCAGAAAAAAGGCAGTTTGGGCTGACCGCAGCAGTCCTTTGCATTTATATGGGAATGTGTACTCTACAGGATACTTCGGTGTATGGTGGTAGCTGTTGGGCTTTCAAACAGATTCAGAGCCGGGTGTCACCGGGAGTGGAGACAGCGAGGCTGAGTGGCACAGAGCTGGGGCCAGGGCCCGGCTGTGTCTGCGCGCCCGGCAAGTTGGGAGACTGTGTTTAGTCCGTTGTACCTCATCTTCTTTTAAGGTGGCAGGGAAATACACTGAAAATAAATTTTAAAGTAGGATTTTAAATGTTTAAAGAACAGCTTTACTACTTAAATGGGGGCACTTTATCTGGAAAATACGTCGAGTTGAAACGCCTCATTCTCAAGAGCATTACATAAGCTTAACAATTCTGTATAAATCTGTAAACTGGTGGTGGTGGGGGGGTGTTGAAGGGTATTAGTCTAGAACCCTGGTTGGAGAGAGGAGGATCCTGG